GAGCGCCCACTTCGTCGAGCCCACAGCTCGACAATGTAGCCCAGGCTACATCATCGCATCCGATGCAGCAATCAGATGTCCAGATGAACAACCCAGAGGAGAACCCTCCTCCGGGGCAATAACTCCACCCTTGAGGAAAGGGAAAGTGACACTGTAATATGCCATTGAGGCGCCTGTGAAAACACCTTCCCCCAACTCAAGGCCCTGCACACAATATTGTATGTGAGGAACTGCAAGTAACAATTGCAGAAATCTCTACTTCATCAAAAAACCCACATCCACCACCACTTATGTGTAAACACCATTTACACACGAACCCTCACGGAACAAGTGAGGAACACCAAAGACATACAACCTTTGGGTTGAAATTCATTTTCAACAAACTCCATTACTTTCCTCTCTGCAATACCCATGTATCACTGTTCACCTCAAAGTGACAGCCCACACTCACTTATTCCCTAAACCTTTTTCTCTCTCCTTCACTGACATGTACAAATCGCCCACTTTAAAGTGGCAACAATAAAACGCTCATTGATAATTTCAAACTCAATGTAAATCAATTCTTAAACTTTATTCTTTTCATCATTAACCTTGTATGCATCGCAAATGCAACGCAAGGGGGAGAATGTCAGGGCAATAGCCCCGAACCCTGAGCCATATGTAATTAAGATACATATAGTCATGTGGGTAAGTGGGAACCTCTGGGTAACTGCTTACACACTACCGTAACATACACACCCTTGTATCACTTACAGCTCTGTGTGCTGAGCTACCCTGAGACCTCACATGCATGCTACTCATTTTGGCCATGAATTTGCTTAATGCATAGGGGTTTCGCCAAGATCCCTTGCAGCTGGAAATATTTCGACGTGCACTCAACTTTGTGGAAAAACGTGCCAGCTTGGCCAGTGCAGTAACTTGCAAAAAGTGTAATGGCGGTTCATGAACTGCCATGGAAGTCATGACATTTCATGAATGGTCACCAAACTTCATGAAGCAGCATGAAGTGTCATACACAGTCATGCCAGTTCATGACAAACCATCATGGAATTTCATGAGATGTCATGAACCTGAATGGGGGGTCATGATTGCTCATGACTTAAGTGGTTCTTCCAGGCAAGTTTTGAGTGGTTACATGCCTGTCTATGAAGTGCCATGAAGTGTCATGAGCCTTCATGGGGCTTCATAAAGGATCATGGACCCTCATGGACCCTCATGGACCTTCATGAATCATTAGGAGTCTTCCCAAGAATCATTGTGATTGATCATAAATTAGGATTCTTGATACAATGATGACAATTGGGGGCATAATGGTTAATTACATGTGTTGGCCTTAAGTTGAAAGTGATATGAAAGCATCATACAAGAAAACAATGGAATGGGACTGACAACCTAGGTGCCAATATAAAGTGGATCAAGTGCCAATATTGGTGAGTTAAGTGAATGAATAGATAAATGTATTAGGTAATTAGCAAGAAATGAATAGTGTGCTGCAAAGTGTCATGGCCCTGCCAAAGGTGCCCATCTGTTACCACTCTCCCACTTCCCCACCACCTATCTTGCCCTGTCAGTCCTCTCCATAATTCATCCCTCAGTGGTGCCAATAGTTGACCCTGTCCACAGTCCCACATCGGCACCTTCTCCCTTCCTATCACCACTCTAACTTTCCTGATCACTCAGCTACATGCTATTAATTTATTGCCAAGCACCCACATGTCCTGTTCCTGCCCATTCACTTAACTTACTTTAGTGGCACCTTTGATCCATCCCTATATTGACACTTGATCTGCTACTATATTGGCACCCAGGTTGTCAGTTCTCTCAGGTTGCCTCCCTACTTTGCCTCTTTGTTTAATTGTTCATTCCACTCTCATTCATTCTCTCACTCTCTGTCTCCCTGGTTCTCATCCCTCATTTAGTTTGTCATGTTCACCACTCTGCCTCCCATTCAGGTGCCAGACTGACTGGCCCCTCTTCTGTTTTCCCTTTTGTGTTTATGCATTGTAGATTACTACCTATGTACCCCAGTTTGAATGTCAACTAGAATCCCCCCAAGTCCTCTTGTCCATAGTTCACCTCTGACTTCATCTTCACTTGAGCCTACATCGCTGCAAGGTTCCCTCCACTACACCTGAAATACAGGATAGCATGTGGCACAACACTCCCACTGAGTCATTGAAACCAACATCCCAACCCCCTGACACCTTGCAATGGAGTAACCTATCAGCTAAGTGATCACTCACACTGTCTCCACTCCACTTCCCACAAATATCCTTGAACACCATTTCTGACACCAAGCAGCAAAGGTGGCTGGAGGAAAAAGTGGAGTTCAGTGCAGTGCCAACACAAGGGCATGAGTTGGAGGTTAGTCAGTCAGTGCTGTCACAAATAAGGTCTGTCACATTGTCAGACAGTTCATAAGTGCTTGTGACATCTCATGCATATTCATGCATGCTGATGACTCATCATACATGTTCATGGAGCATTATGAATTTCCACAATGCATCATGGGACATTAGAGCATTTTACATGATGGGGAAAGGTCAAAATAAACATATGACACTCCATGACACTCCATGAACCTTCATGACAGGTCATGAAAGGTCATGAAGGTTCATGAATATCATGACCACTCATGAACCTCCATGAGGCATCATGTCATATTGTGTCACCAGCAGTCATGGACCTTGTCAGCACATGACGGTTCATGACGGTTCATGACAATTTGTCATGAACTGTCATGAAATCCAAAATTTTCAATGTAAAAAATGTCTGATTCAATTCAATTGTCATGACATGTCATGAGGGGTCATGAAATTTCGTGACATGTCATGACTCCTCATGATTTCATGATGCAGGATTACACTTTTGGAGAGTACCTCGGCCAGTGGATGGTTGGAGCTGAAAACCATCCAGTATGTGGGGGTATGGAAGGATTGTGGCTATATGAAAGTTTTAATTGTGGAGCTGCCTTGACCGATCACTAGTGTGAGAAGACTTGGGAGTCTGATAATTATCAGTGAGACACTTTTCAGGACTCATTATTGAGGAACCTGTCCGAGGTTGTAAGGGGGCAAGGGATCTACTACCCTAACGAGAAAGAGAGGGGGCCACAGAGTTGGTAGTGCTCGGGGGAGGTTCGGATGAAGAGGAGGGGGGGGAAATGGTCCAGGTGCAATGTGATAAAAATGATAAACTCGTAAATCTCACTGGAAATCAAACTAATGGGAACTCTGTCCCTGCACTATGTCTTGAGCCTCTTTGGCTTCGTATTCACCGCTCTGGGTGCTGGTAACGTCTGCTAAAACTTCATGTTCTTGTTGGGGAGCACCTCTCTCTGTTGGGGGAGTCCTCTTTGTAAATACAGGGAAGAGGCAGTTATAAATATGAAAAAGGTATGCGTGGAAATCCGAATGATCTGACGGGTTTAGGACGGCAACAGATCCACAAGGAACAAGTAAGAAAAAAGTAATATCAAAGAAATATTGATGTTGTTAAGGAAATAAAGAACCATGGCGATCGCCTCAACCGCTGAACCAAATCCGTCGCTCGTAACATCGTTCGACTCGTGTTAACAAGGGCTTTCCAACGATACCAAATTCGTCCGGATCGGTGGAGAATTGATGGAGATACAGAGGAAGCGGTGGAATATGCGGGTGACAGTTGCCCAATTTGGAAACTGATGGTTGTCCGTGGTCAGGAATGGTTTGAAAAAATCAGAAAAAAATATGTAAAATGTGGAAGGGGTATTTGGAACAGTGGTAGATGTGTTTTGGAAGTGGGGTGCTTGATGAGAGTGGTAGAATTGCAATAATTGGCTCGTTTGCGTGGTACTGGCTGTGCCCGCCTACAAGGTTGATTTGGAATACTTACATGAGTTGATTCTCATGCTGCTTCATGAGATTCACAAGTAATGAACATGAGGCAAAATGTGGCGCAGTTTCTGATGAGCACCAATCCGGAGAATGCACCTAAACTTGCATGGATTCCCAAATCTGGAAGTCAACAGCTTGGCGAGCTTGGCATTTTCTTCCTTGATACCCTCATGAGTAATACATATTTCACTTTCACTTTCGCATGTTGAAAACAATCCCTGAGGAACTAAGTGATATTATCAGTGACTTCTGACTCCATGATGCAGAAGGGTCAGTTGATCACCTGATCACTCTTTGAGTAAGAGAAATAATCCTTCACAATCCTTCCCTTTGAATCTTCCACATCTATCAGTGCGAAGAGACATATCTATGATGTCATCACTATGAACCATTACCTTCCACAAATCCCCCAGTCCCATTCTCACGCTTCTCCCTCCAAAGCGGCTGATGTGGCAAAAGACATGGAGTCCCGCTTTGATCTGTATGATCAATGTGGTGACTCAGAACCTTCCATAGTGGGCCTGTAAACAAAGTTTTGGGCAGTGACATTCGAATATGCCAATCTCTGAGTGGAGGTATGTCCTGATCCAATTCAAATTCAAAAGAAAAGGTATGCATATTCGCAACCAACTTACTCGAGGCCCAACACTTGAATGGAGCAGAATTAAGCATTCAAATCTGTCAGCCAGTACTTGTTAGAGCACCATTTTTAACTTATTGCTTCCAGTGACACCATGAGGTTGTTAGCCTCAGCAGCAATGCCAAATCCTCCCATTCTGCAATCCTGCCTTGTTACTGCCTGTTGTGCATCACACTCACTTTGAAAACACACAACAGTCCACATACACCGGTATGGCCCAGCTTCCTGCAAGATCAAAGTATGTATGTTCCTGCTGCCAACTTCCCACCAAATCTCACATAACAAACCCTAGGGTACTAAGAGAGTTGGCATAAGTAGCTGCAAACCATGTCAGTTGGTTCTGCATAAGAGGATGGAATCTACCATGGGACTTCCAAAGGGATGAATTGAACTCACCATGAACTTGTGCAGCATCTACTCAAGTGTTATCACCCATTTCGCATCAAACCTTTCCACCCCTTCCTTCCATCTGCCTGTCATTGGTCATGTCACTGAAGCAGAGGGTCATTGGTCACCTCGCCGCAGGAGGTGATGTTGCAATTTCAGTTCTCACCGCCATTAATGCTGCCATCAGGGCTCCTTTACAATTTTCCACTGGTGCCACACCCCTGATCCTCAGCGAGATCAATGTTAGTAATAATTTATACCGAGCCAGGAGTGGAAGTTAACAATATGCATTATATAGAAGTTTACGATGCATCTAACAAAGAGGTTAAGCCATGGATGGAAAATGTCACGAAGCTAAGCAAGTAGTCACTGCTCTCATGCAAGTCATTGCTGTCGTATAACATAGGTACTTTGTGGTGCACCGCAGTGTATTCAAATTGAAATTGATCGATTGCGCGGAAAGATGGAAAGACAGTCAGGCACACACAGCCCCCCTCCCCACATGAAGAACCCCAGCAAGATTGATGATTTAAGGAAAGATTTTAGCATGGCCTTGGCATCCTTCAAGGTATTCGTGTTTGATCCTCATTGGTCATGTTGCTGCTCTGATCTCATTATTGTAACCCACTGTGGGAAGTAAATGGCCGTAAAAAACCATTTTTGGTCTGGTTTTTGACCATTTACCACTGTTTTCATGATATTTTTTTCATTGTGAATTACAATATACGTTTCATGATGCTAAATACCAGGACTCTTCCCTGCGTAAATTACCACTCAATTCATGGTATTCGAGCTGCGATGTATTGTACAAAGGTCAGAGGTATGGATGGCTGGAGTTCAGTTAGTCATCATCATCAATTGACCTTGCGATCGATGATGGCCCAACGATGGGAATGCATACGTACCATAGGGAAATTGGCCACATACTGAAGAGACTGAAGTGAGAGCGATAATTTGAGTGTAGTAAAAGAGGTCGGTGCCAAGGCAGCATCCATGTAAGCACCGCTATCTGAGACAAGGTCAACAAGGTGACGCATGTTCTCACAAGCAACGTTTTGTGACATGCTTGGGGATTTGAGTCCACAGCTACTTCAGCTCAATAGTGAGAGCCATGAAATTCAAACACTCCTACCCAGACAAAGGATAAGTTCCTAAATTTAATTCATCATTTTTGGGCCCACATTGTGGAAACTTTGTCATCTCCCCCAACAATGTGTGATTTCCCTAGCAAGGCATAACCAAGAGCTCGATTATATGTTGGTATGGCTTGTTGTAGACATTAGTAAACTAGATCGCGACTTTGTGATGGGTGGAATTGTCAGGAATGTTTCTTGTTGTGAGGAGCCCCAAGTATGGAAGCTGGCACTTAAAGATGTAAGGGTAGGTGGGCAAAGACTGTGGCACTTAGACTGAAATCGGACTAAGTTGTTCTTGGCAGTTTCCATTCCACTCAGTGCCTTATCCTCTCCACCATACCATACACATTCTGCAACCTGCTGTCATATCCATCCATGGCCATCAACTTCCACTACCTCCGATCCTTCCGGACTACCTCCGCTCCTTCTTCACTAACCTCGGAGCTCCTGTATTCCACAATCACCTCTGCTTCCCTTGATGGTCACCATCCCCTCTTTTCAATATATTACCTACGCCTCCCTAAGTATGGAGCCCCGAAGGCTTCCAGACAGCCCCGACATCCGCTAGCGCACTCCCACCTCTGCTGGGCAATTCACTTGCTTGCCCTGCAAGCCCACCTTCGGGCCTATCCCTCCTTTCCATTTCTGGGTTATCGCCTGCCATTCTGCTAACCCCGTAACCTGACTTGTCAGTAATATTCAATCGGCTAATGTTTAACTCCATTAGCTCCGCTCCATTTGGCCCTGCCATTCACGGGCCCATCCTCGCTGTAACTATATATACTTAACTTGTACATAGGTTACACCTCAGTGATAAAATCGACTAGAGTTGATTCCTCCTCAGATCTCGTTGCCAGTAAGTAAATTAGGGCATGGACGTGTAACTTGGCACAGCGCTCCTGGCTTGAGTCGCTGAGGCCAAAGCCCTCCGCCATGGAGACAAATCCTTCATCTCGATCTGGTCTCTAACAGTATTTTATCACTCCCTGACTAGTACACGTCCTGTATGGCACCCAAAGCCCCTCACACTTGTTCGCAACTATGCACATTAGTCCCCAACTCTGCCTCACTGTCCCCTGAACCCTCGCAGCCTGGTCCTAGTCGTCTGGTGAGAAACCCAGTTGAGTTTCGCAGCTTCTCTAATTTAGAAACCCCTCTCCTGTCGACTCCGATCATGCATCCCGTTAGAAATCGATCACCAGTTGCAGATTCCAACTTCAGAGACACCATGGAACAGCCCATAGATCCAGTTCACTTCTTTGGACTCGGTTCCAAGGTCCCCGATTTCGTTGACCCTCCTCCTGATGATCCCCCCATCCCCACTGTCCCAACCACCGACGATGCCGAACCCATCCCCAATGTGGCTATTACACAGCTAGCCCAAGCCATCGCCAGTTTGGCTCATCACACCGGACGTCCACCTCCTCCACCTTCCTCCGCTCTCCAGACCAAGGTCTGTGAGCTTGAACAGTTCAACAGAAAAGATCCCCAAGAACTCCGAGTATTCCGGGTCCATGTCAGGGCGTGGGAAAACATTACCGTGACTTGCCGTCGGCGACTGTTAAGGTCTGCTACTCCGGTGTAACAGCCCGTTAAGGGCGGGGATGACAATCATGGCGAAGCAGGGTTTCAGCTTCAACGACTCGTTCGTGAGCGTTGCACCTTGTACTTGACACAGCCCTGATATTTCGGAGGACAGAGAGTGCAACTGGGTCAGACAGAGAACACAGGGGGTAACCCTAGTTGATTTTCGAACTAAAGTACAAGGTAGTGTACAACTGGTATTGTAATGAAATGAATAGGAATAAGTTGCCAGATCTCATGGAGATTGCAGGCGGGCTTAAGAAGGAACAAAAACAAACAAAGAGCATGGGAGAAGGACGGCCATGCACGGCCATCAAGAAAACAAGCATAATAAGGAATGACTCATAGGCCTGTGATGGGCTGTGGAACAGGTGGCAGTGACAGGGATGGATGACGGGCTTGTCCAGGCAGTGTCGGGCAGGCAGCAGAGTTGACGGGGTCGAAGCGGAGGAGGGAGAAGGTGTGGGGAGTGGTCACCTGACCGTGGGAATTGCCGGGTCGTGACAGTCCAATGCGAACTGAACTTTCAGGACCGCCCCCTTGCTTTTGCTAGCAACCTTGCCAAGGTCATCTTCATGCAGTCCTACCTCAAGGGGATGGCCCTTGATTGGTTCGAACTGGACCTGTTATTTGATCAAAATTCTACACTTCATCCTTGATGGATGAACAACTACCAAGAGTTTGTCAACAAACTTCAAACCAACTTCGGTCCTCACGATCCTGTGGGCGATGCCGAAGTCCAACTAATGACCCTGGATATGAAGGACAGGCACCACATCAACAAGTACGTCATTGAGTTCAATCAACACGCTTCTCAACTTCATGGTTATGGAGAAGCTGCTCTCCATCATTTTTTCTATAATGGATTGCCAGAATGTATCAAGGATGACATTGCCAGAGTAGGTAAACCTTCTACTCTTTCGGAACTTCACACCTTGTCACAAACTTTTGATGCATGCTATTGGGAGCATAAATCCGAAGTGACACTTCATGCAAAACCCTCATCCTCTAACGTCTTCGACAAGGCCACCACCTCTTCCCACTCTGACCCCGTTCCTTCCTCCTCCTCATTCAACTCCACTTCCGGTAGCAAGCCTCCGAAGGACAACAGAAAGTCCGAGGCCAGCTCCGCTAAGCTGGATCTCTCATCAAAACTCGGAGACAATGGCAAGCTCACGCCACAAGAGCGTAAGCATCGTCTCGACGAGAAACTTTGCATGTTCTGCAGTCAGTCTGGCCACATGGTCAAGGACTGTCCCAAGTCTTCTTCTCACACATCTAAGGCCCATTCAGCCCAGACCAAGGAGCAAGGATCTGCTTCCGCAGAGGCAAAAAATTAGTCCACACCCCCATGGACTCCGCACAGACTGGGGGTTGCAATTCTTCCCTCTGTGCACTCAAAGAAGTATGCTTAAATGCGTCTTCCATCTCCGACTTATCCTCCCTCCACATTCCCATTTCTTTTTCTCTTTCTGATGGTCTATTTTCTCCTCTCAATGTTGACCCTTTGGTTGATGTTCTACCCGTTGTAGATAGTGTTGCTGATGTACCACTCTCTCCTCCTCCCCCTCCTCCTACTTCTGTAGATCGTTCCACCTCTCTCCATTTCTCTTCTCTCTCTTCTCCTGTCTCTTCTCTGTCCGATGTAAGGACAAACAATAAACTCTTCCACACCTATGAGAACATCCCTGCTGCAATATTATTAAGTTTAGCTCATGGTTTTGTAAGTCCTGCTTTATTTATTTTAGTAGGTGGAGTTTTATATCATCGATATCATACTAGAACTGTAAACTATTATAGAGGTATGGTTTTAACTATGCCTATATTTACTATTATGCTCTTCCTATTTACATTATTTAATATGGGTACACCTCTATCTGCTAACTTTATTGGTGAATTTTTATCTTTAGCTGGAGTATTCCAAAGAAATCCTGTAATTGCTGCTTTAGGGGCAACTGGTATATTCATAGACTCTGGGTCTTCGGACTGCTTCATCAACAACACATTCATAAAGAAGTTGGCCCTGAAGACATATCAGATTAAACCTCTACAACTACGCCTTTTTGATGGTAGCACTAACTCAATCATAACCTGCACCATTGATATTCCCCTCCGCTTCGCTTCCAGAAACATCACCCCCATGACTTTCTTTGTCACATCGCTGGATGGATCATGTTCCCTAGTCCTAGGACACAACTGGCTTACCCACTACAATCCATTGATTGACTGGGTCTCAAGCAGTATTACGTTCCGAACTTCCGAACCTACCAAGACAGTTACTCCGAGCTCTCCCCCGTCATCTCCGGCAACACTGCCGTCATCCAACATCCAACCATCTGATGTTCCGCTAGCACCTCAGCCCCAGGCTCCCATTCCTCTGTTACCATCTATCGAGTTTGTCAGCTGTTCCGCATTCGCAAAGGCTTGTCAACTTGAAGGATCGGTATCCTCCTTCCGAGGACAGCCACTTGAGGGCTGCCTCATCCCACACCGATTCCGTTGACCTCTCAGGTGTTCCGAAGGAGTACCATGAGTTCGCAGATGTGTTCAGTAAGAGCAAAGCCTCGACGCTGTAGGAATATAAAAGTTACAACACTAAAACAACCAGAAACCATCACAAAAAATTGGATAAAAATCATACAACCTCCACGGACCAGAAATAAAAATAGGAATAAAATCATAACTCAACAAAATGAATTGAAATAAAATATCGGAAAAATAATGAAGAACAGAGTCGATGGATTGAGTATCTACGCGAACTTTCAAGTCTAGGGATTAAAAGATGGTTCAGAAAATGAAGAAAAACAGCAAATAAACTCACATGAAAACAAAAACAAGGTTTCCTGTATCAAATAAAATATTAGAAATTCGTGGTAACGTGGGAAAATAGTTTTACGAACGTACGAAACGAATGACAAAG